CTTTTTATTAATAATTTTTAAAAAAAAAAAAAAAAAAAAAAAAAGAAGTAAAATGAATAAATTTAAATAAATATATATGAATTAAAATCTTGTCATATAAAAATAATAATTTTTTTATTCATTATTTTTATTATTCTAACTCTATATCATTAAATTTTTCAGAACCAGCTAAATCTATAAAATTTATCTGAGAAATAAATTCTTTTTCTCTTAAAAAAAAAAGAAAATATATATATATATATAATTATATATAATTTTATATATATATATATAATTTTATATATATATAATTGTATATATATATGATATTATACTTGAAACATTTATGTTGATAAACAGTTAATAAGCAATGAGATCTTGATGATACTAAATTTTTTTTTGTTGCATTTGTTTTTCTATATTTGAAACATAGATTTATAATATTCATAACCTGATATGGAAATTATATAAAGTAAAAAATAATAATTTATACATTATGATTTAATTTATTTTTTCCTTACATCTTCAATGCTTTTTATAGGTAATAACGTAATATTTTCTACATATGTCTATATGAAATATAATAAAAAAAAATATCTAAGTTAAAAAAAATAAAAAAAAAAAAATTTTTTTCTTTTATTTTAACATTTCCTTTTTCGTCTTCTCTAATTATATTATCATGAAATTTTGAATAATAATTTATTAAGTCTTCATTAGTTGTTGATAATTGTGATAACTCAAATACCTTACCTAAAGAGGTGAAAAAAATATATATTAATCAGATGTTAAATTTTAACTTTTTTTTAATTTTTTTTTAATATATATATATATATGTAATTAACCTAAATCTCTAATTTTTTCAAGATATATTTCTACTACAGTTATACTAATTTCAACGTTCTGAAAATTAAAAAAAAAAAAAACTCATTTACATAAAAAAGTAGATAAAAAAAGGAATAAAATCTTAAAATGAATATTATTATTTTTATAGTTTACCTTATTTACTTTTTTTAAATCAAAAAAGTAATTTAAACATAAATATATTAATCCGTTATTTCCTTTGTCTTTTGAATTGTTTCTTTCTCCATATAAAGTATATGTTTTACCACTATTAGTATTTCCGTAAGTCAATATTGAACTATTATATCCATCTTACAAAAAATATGTAAAAAATTCAAGAAAATATATACATATATGTATATATATATATATTATATAATAAAAAAAAAAAAAAAAATAATGAATATAATATATATATATACTTTAATTACTAATAAAATTATCAATAAGATTTTTTCCTATTAACTCAAAAATATCATTTTGCTTAATATGGACATCAAATATATGATTAAAATGAAATGTTTTTGTTTTTAATTCACTTATATCATTGTAGCTTTTTTTTTTTTCAAATAAGTACAATTGATTATTATTAATCTTATATAAGGCACAATCTTCATTTTTTAAATTAGAAAAATTTTCTACATTAGGTTTAATTCTTAAAAATACTTTAATGTTTTCATTCATATTTTAACCTTTTTTTTTTTTTTTTTTTTTTTTTTTTTTCACTATTATCGTAGTATTTTTTATAGAATTTTTTTATTCAAAAAAAAAAATTAATATATATATATTTTAGTATTTTATACAAAGATAACTATTAATAATGTTAATTTAATTAAAGATAATATTATTTTTATTAAGTAAGTTAGTGTATATTATGTGTTATTATTTATATCCATATGATTTCATTTTTAGTAAATCTTCAATTTTTTAAATGCAAATTGTGTATTAAAAATCTTTTTTATTTTTCTTGTCTTATTTAATTAAGTAATCTCTTAAGATAAAAAAAAAAAAAATAAAATAAAATAAAATAAAATAAAATAAATAAAATAAACTCTGAAATATATTAGAAAAAAATAGAAAAAAAAAAAAAAAAAATATCTTTAATAAAAATATTAAAATATATTTTAATTTAATTGTCTAAATTTTTCTTTATTCAAATTTTAAATTAGATAATTAACGGCTACCCTTAAGTGTAATACATTTTTCTATAACAGTATTAATAATATATATATATATATTATTGCAATTTCTTTTTCTAAAATTTATTTATGATATATGAACTTATAGAAATAAAAAATAAATAACAAAATAATTAAAAAAATATATTAGTGAATTATGATTTAAACATAGAAAATATAATTATTGAAAAAAAAAAAAAAAAAAAGTTTTAGCTAAATTGTATAAAATTAAATATAATAAAATATAATTAGTTTTTTAATTAAAAAAAGGTTAGAAAAAAAAAGTTTTATATATAAGTAGTATATATGTATAAAAATATCTCTTGTATATTTGAAAATTATTAAGATATAAAAATAGAATAAAATAAAAAATGTATATTTAAAAAAATGAAATAAAAAATACATCAATGTATAAAAATAAGTAAATAATTTTATTGAGTAAATGGATTTGTATTTAAATTCTTAGATAAAATATTAAAATCAATATTATTTTGCTTTAATAATAAATCATTTTTTTGAAGAGATGAATTTTCATAATTTGCGTTAATGAATGTATTTGATATATTTATAAAATTATTTCTTTCGAATACGTTAGACATATTAAATGAGGTATTTAAATTTGAATCTCCATTAAAAGAATTTAATTGGGGTTTCATATTATTTTTTCTTTTTTTTTTATTTAAATCATTTTGAAAATTATGTTTAATATTATTTGAATTATCATAATAATTATTATTAAAATCGTTAAAGTAAGTATTTACATTACACATATCATTAATACCACCATAATTCATATGTTCATTAATAATTTCATTATTTTCATTAAAATTTTGATTAACCGTATTATGAAAAATATGATTACTAATTAAATTATGATTAGTTATGTTATTAAAAATATTATTATTAACTAAATTATGATTAATAATATTTTCACTGATTAAATTATTATTTACAATGTCATTGTTATTAATTATATTTTTTTTAATTATACCGTTATTATTATCGATAAAATCTTGATTGACATTATTTTTATTAATCAAATTTGTATTAGGGATATTATCATCATTATTTTTATTTAGACTAAAATCATTACTCGTTTGATTTTTTGAATTTTTATTTTTAAATGTATTTGAGTTTTGATCTACGTTATTTTTATTTGTTTCGTTGTTAAATTTTCTCTTTTTTTTATACTTACATAATTTTTTTGTTAACTTAATAATTTTATTTTTATTACTAAAAAATTCGCTAATGTGTTCTTTGTAAAAATGTAAAACAGTTTTATCTATATCAATCATTCTTTTTCTTTTTGTAGTTCTAGAGGTAGCTACATTTTTGCTAAATCTTGTTTCCATCAATTTCAAATTTATGCAATCAATATCAATATAATCTTCAGGTATATATTTATTTATTTCATTTAAATTTAAAAAATTGTTTTTTAAAAATGTTCCATAACTTCCATTACAACATCGAGGAACCCATAGGAGATCATGAGAGTTGGTTTTATTATGTATTATATCAATAATACTGATATAAAACTTTACTTTCCCAAATAAGTACAACATAGAAAAACTTGATTTATTTTCTTCAAAATTATTTCTTTCATCTTCATATAAATTATTAGAGTTTATATATTCATTTAATGTAAAATTATCATCATAAACATTTTTGGAATTTTTTATATTTATCTCTTTTTTTAAATTCATCATGTCATTTTTTATATAATCACTAGAATTAAATTCATTTCCATTAATATAACTTTTTGAATTCACTTCATTTATATTTATATAATTTTTTTCATTTATTTCCTTTAAGTTACTATAATTTTTTACGTTAGTTTCATCTATATCTAAATAGCTAATTGAATTTACATCATTTGTGTTATACAATTTGAAGTTATCAGTAGAATTTTTAGAATTTTTAATATTATTTTTTGTAGAATAATTATTTATATTATCATTTGGTATATATAAATTATTCCATGTATAATCATTACATTCATTCATTAAACTTTCACTTTTCATACAAGATAAATTAACTTTCTTTTGTGATTTATTTAAACTTTTAGATGGATTATATTCGTTATTTTTTTTATTAATAAATTCACTATTATCATTATTATTATTATTATTATTAGTAGTAGTAGTAGTAGTAGTAGTAGTAGTAGTAGTAGTAACAGTATTATTATTATTATTATCATTATTATTAGCTTCAATATTATTATTATTAGTTGCAGTTTTATTATCACTATTATTATTAGTAGTAGTATTATCATTATCATTATCATTATTATTATTATTATTAGTAGTAGTAGTAGTAGTAGTAGTATTATCATTATCATTATTATTATTATTTTTTTTTTTTTTTTCTGTTTTATCATCATTATTATTGCTGTTATTATTTTTATCATTATTTTGATTAGTGTTATTGTTATCTTTATTATTTATATCTGTATTATTATTATTACTATTATTTTTATTAATATTGCACTCATCTCTATTAGTATTACTGTTATTACTATTATTATCTATATAATTTATATTATTGTTTTCTTTATTATCATTATAAGTGATACTATTTGTTCTAATATTATTATTTTCATTATTATTAATATTATCTTTCATTATTTCTTTTTTTTTCTGAACTTTATATAATGAACAATCGGAATTTCTTCCAAATGATTCCTTATTTATATTTTCTCTAATATTACAACATAAATATTGTTCCATAAGCTCATCTTTTACTAAGCAGCTACTATTTTGTTCAGAGTTTTCCTTCATTTTATTTATATAATTAAAATTTTTAATATAAATGGAATTTTTTTTATTAGTTAAATTGTTATTATATATATTATTATATGAACAATCAACTGTATCCATAGTATCTGCAGTCATTAATGTATTCGAAGTAGTATTTAAACTATTACTATTTATAAAATTTTTATCTGAATTAAAACATTTAATATAATTCTGATCGTATATTTGATACATATTCATGCAAAATTGATTATTATAATTTCCTTGAGTTTCTATATTTAAATATTGAGTGTTTAATTGATCATTTTGATTTTTATAAGATGGTATATTATTATATAAATGATTTTTATTTACTAAATTAAATGAATCATCATTAAAAACCTCAATATTATTAATATATTTATTATAAGAATTATAATCTAAATAGCAACTAGAATTATTATAATTTCCAGAAATTTTATTTAATACATTATCATCTATTACAGACATATTTGATGAAATGTTTTTTTCATTACAAATTATTTTTCTGTTTGTCAAATTATTTTCACTCAAATAGCTGATTTCATTATTTTGAATATTTGATTTCATATTTTCATCCTTATAATTGAAATTGTTTATTATTTGTAATTTGTTTAATTCATCATTGTCATTTTTATTATTATTAATGTGGTAAAAATTCATATTTTTTGTGTATATATTATTAATGATATTTGAATTTTCTGAATCCTTTTTTATATATTCGGTATGTTCTTTTTCATCAGGAATTTCTAAATTTTCACTGCTGTTGATTTCCTTGTTTAAGTTAGTTTTATTATCCATGTTAATTTCATCACTTATACTAGACCTTTTTATCAATAAATTATTATTATTTGTAGTAAATTTTTCTATTTTATTATCTACTTTAATATTAGTATCTTCATCTAAAATTTCAGTGTTTTCATTTTTGTTTTTTTCTTCATCTTTTTTTATACTTCTGTTACTATGTAAATTGTTCTTTTTATCTAAGATTTTTTCTTCACTTAAACACTGTTCTTTATTTTTTTTGAATTTTTCTATTTCTGTTTCATTTCTACATTTTTTATTTCTTAAAATAGTATATTTATTTGATTCTGAATTTATTAGATTTTCATCAAACTCTTGAAATGTTTGTTTTACTTTATCATCAGCAATATCTGTCGTATTATTTTTTGTATTCTTAAAAGTATTTATGTCTTTATTAATTTTTATAATATCTTCATTTTTATAATTTTTCTCTAAATTTTCATTTTGAGATATTTCAAAGGTTTTAACATTGTTTATGCTTTTTTCTGTTTTAAAGGATTTAACTAGTGATAACACTTCTTTTTTTAAATAAAAAAAATCTTCATTAATATTCTGTTTACTTAAATTATACTCGTTGATATCACCTTCGGATTGTTCAGAATCTTTATCATTCTTGTTTTTAGAAGAAGTAATATTATAAATGTTGTATAAATTTTCACACTTAACTTTTTCCTTTAGATATGTTTCTTCATTACATGTATCACTAGTTATTTTTGTATTATTATCTAAAGAAATAGTATTTATATTATTTATCATTTTATTAACATGTTTTATGTTGTTGCTTATGTTTAAATAAAGTTCATTTTGACTTTTTGTATTTCTATCATTACTTGCAGAATTTTCCAGTTTTACTTTGTTTTTTTTCATTTCATAAACGTATTTTTTATTTTCATTGTTATTATGCTTATCTTCATATTCATTCTTTGTATTTAAATCAAAATCTTTCATTTTACATTTTTGTCTGTCACTTTCATCATTTTCATATGTGCCATTACTATTTAAATTATTCATTTGGTTATTAACATCTCTAGTATATCTATCAACATTTTTTATTACATTATCTTTATATTCTTCTATATGTTCAGTGTTTTTATTTTTCTTTTTTTTTATTTTAGATTCTAAATCAATATTTTCCATCATATATTTTAATTCATTTTTCCCAAAGTTCATATCATCCTTTTCTTCTTCTATTTTTTTTTTAATTTTATAATTTTTTATTTCTTTATCACTTTTATAACTTTCTGAATTGTTATTATCTTTTTTTATTCCTTCATTATCTATTTTTTCTATTCTTTCATTATCTATTTTTTCTATTCTTTCATTATCTATTTTTTCTATTCCTTCATTATCTATTTTTTCTCTATTACATCTATTTTTTATATTATATTTTTTTAAATGGTTTTCATTTACTTCTTTTACACATTTAGCATTAATATTTTGATATTCATATTTTTTATTTTTTTCATTTTCACTATTTTGATTTAAGCCGTTTTCATTATCATTTTTAGAATGTTTATTTTCTTTTTTTATTATGTCTTCTTCATTATTTCTGAAATTTTCTTCATTAAGTATATCAAAATTAGAAGAATCATTATGTTCTAATTTAAAAAAAAGATCTTTTTTATTATTGTTATGTTTCGTATTTTCTATTTTTACTAAATCCTCTTTGTATTTATAATTCTTGTCATTATTATAGAGGGGAAATTTTAAATTATCTGTACATTCATTTATATTTTGTATTTTAAATGAATTCATATTATTTATAACAGAATTGTTTACACTTTCATTAAAGTATTGCGAATTAATAGAAGGATCAGGTAAATTATACAAATCATTATTATTAACAGAATTTTGTTCATTAAAAGTGTTATTCATTAAGTCTATATATGCTACATCATTATTTTCATTATTCATATTATTGTTGTAATTATCTTTTAAAGAATTATAATTTATAGCAAAATCGTTTTTTTGCTTATATAAAAAAGAATTTGGCATATTTAAGTTGTTAATATTAGTAAAATTATTAGATAAATTATTCAGTGGATATATTGACACCATATTATTTGAAGTATTTTTGTTTATATAATTATTATAGACAAAAGAATAATTAGAATCCTCAATATCTGTATTACTTAAATCCTCATTTTTAATATTCAAATTATTTAAATTCAAATTATCAGAATCCATGTTACTGTTAAAAGGTGGAGAATTCATTGGTAAAAAAGAGTTTGAATTAACTAACTGATTTTGAATAATTTTCATATTATTTATATTATTTATATTATTATTAGTTATATCATTTAATAAATAAATATTATTATTAAATGAATCACTATTGTGATTAGTTCCCTTTGTGTTATAGGCACATGGAATTAAACTTTTATAAGAAATATCATTAGATGAAAGATCATTAAACATATGATGATACATATCTTCTTTGCTATTGTTTAAATATTCATTTCTATTTATTAATGGAATTTTAGTCATAAATTCTTGATTATTTAGAGAATTTTCATTAGATTGAGATATATTATACATTTGTTTGCTATTATTATCATCTTTTAATTTTTGATCATTTTTATTTTTTTCTTTAATACAATTATTAAAGTTATTTAGAGAAGTATTTTTTGTTTTCTTTATATCTCCGTTTGTACTATTAGAATTCGTTTTATTAGGATTTAAAAGATCATTACTATTTATTTTATTTTTTTTTTCTAAATCTAAATGAAGTGAATTTTTATTTAAAGAATAATCATGAGATGATGTACTTATATTTTTATGGTGCATAGAAGTATTATTTATATTAACATTATTTATATTTAAATTATATAAATTGCTGTTATTTATATCTTCATTATTCATATTTATGTTTATATTATTTTTATATAAATTATCAGTTAAAGAATCATTCATGTTCATTTCATTTAAATAATCCATATTATAATTATTAAAAAAATTATTATTAAAAAAACTATTATTTAAATTATTATTTAAATTATTATTTAAATTATTATTTAAATTATTATTTAAATTATTATTTAAATTATTGCATAAATTATTATATAAGTTACTGTTCATTCTATTTAAATTATTGATATTATTTAAATTTCTAACACTATTTAAACTTTTTATATTATTGATATTTCTGGTATGATTTAGTTCATAATTATTTACGTTATTTATTTCATTAAAACATTGAATATTATTTGAATTATTAAGAACGTCTATATTATTTAATTTAGTAGTATTTAAATTAACATTATTAAAATTCATATTGTTCAAGTTTATATTATTTGGGTTAACGTTATTAATTTCATTCAAATTATCCATATTGTTAAAGTTATTTTGATCATTATTGAAAATCTTATTGTCAAAAGAACTTTGATTATTCATGAAAAATTCATTTTTAAAATTATTTTTGTTACTATCCTTTGTTTTATAAAGATATAATGGTGTCTTTATTATATGTTTAAAAGTAATATGACGATCTGTATTTATTTGAATTTTTCTAATAATACTTACACTACACTTTTTACCACTTCCATATATATTACCATTATTCAAAATAAAAACATGCAAATAATTATCAGTATCTTCTTTTTTTACTCCTAAACATATACATATACATCTATGTATATTATATAATGTCATTCCACTATGAATACCTAACAAATTCAAAAAAAAAAAAAGAAAAAGAATAAAAAATAATTATTAAATTAATCATTGAAGTAGAATTTAATAAAAGATAGAGATAATAATAAAAAAAAAAAAAAAAAATATATAAAAATTATATATTAAAAATGAAAATATAAAATAAAAAAAAATAAGATTTATGAATAGTATTACCTATATATCTACATATATACTTATTATTAAATGAAGTACTTATTTTTAATTCAATAATATCATATTCATTTATATTTTTATAAACACGAATATTTTTATCTATTGGGGAATTTAACATATTAACATTATTGTTATTTACTCCATTTTGCATTTTATTTAATGAATAATTTAAATTGTTATTAATGTATTCATTGCTCATGTTTTTTGAATAAACATTATTTAAAGAATATGTATTATTCATATTTAAATTCTCATTATGGAACATATTTCGTTTGTCTATTTGTTTATATTCATCATTAAAAGAGAAATCTTGTTTCATGTAATTTGCATAATTATTAGTATGCTCAACTTGTTTATTCAAAATATAATCAAAATTTTTATCTAATACTTTTAATTCTTCTAATATATCTATTTTATTTTTTTTTTCAATCAATTCATCTTTTGTATATATTTCATTCTTATCATTTAATCTACTAATTAAATTTTCTTCTTTTTCTTTTTGATGCATAATTAAATTTCTTTTACTTTTTTTTCTTACATTTGATATTATATCATTAGGTGAAATTTTTATTCCTTCATTATTTGAAAAAAATATATTATCAGTATTTTCTAATAAAGTTTCATTTTTAACTAAATCAGAATTACTGTTAATAAAATTTTGATCATTATAACTTTTTTTATACGTTAATTCATTTTTCTTTAAATCAGAATAAGAAAAACTAAATTGATCTCCCAATGGTAAACATCCTTCATTTTTGGTTATTTTAAGTTTTTCAATTATGTATTCAAAGTAGTGGATTAACGAAGGATATAAAATTAAAGATTTCGTTAAGAAATTAGAATAAACAAATATTTTATATAAATCATTAATACTCAATTTTTTAAAATAAAAATGCTTGTCTATATAGTTGTTACTTATAATTTTTATTAGATTTTTTATATCATTTTTATCAGCATCATTTTCGTTAATTAATTTTTTAGTTTCGTTTGAACAATTACTTGAACTAAAAGTATAATTAATTTTAAAATCATCAAAGTAATTAAAAAAAGATATTTTTTTTTTATCTTTTTTGTTCTTATAAACAGTAATTGACTTTTTACTTTTTTCTTTTTCTTCTTCATAATTCATTTTTAAAAGAAAAGAAAAAATATAATAAAAAAAAAAAAAAAAAAAAAAGTTAATTAAAGTTATATATGTTCATTATATAAATAATAGAAAGGTTTAAAAATATATATATATATATATATATATTCATATTCTATATGTATATTGATGTTGTATAAATACATGTTTATTTAAAGACTTTTTTATTTTTTTGTTTTAAAACATATTTTCATAAAGATAAAAACTGTAAATCAATTTTATATAGGATAAAACATATACATATAATTATTAAAAAAATTCAAATTTTTCTATTCTTATACATATAAAACTAACATATATATATATAAATATATTTTTTAAATAAAGAAAAAGAACCCTTTGAAATAGTGATTATTAATTATGTTTTCAAAAACATATAATGTGTTCATACACATATATTATAACATAGATTATTCTACTTAATTCTATGTAAAAAATATTAGCAAATTCTTGTTATATTCAACTTTTTTTTTCTACTAAAAAAAACTATATATACACACTTTGTAATTACACTACCAGTGATAATTTACAAAAAAAAAAAAAAAAATGAAAAAAAATGAAAAAAACATCTTTTTATAGCTTATAAGACTTAAACATATATTAAAGAAAAATTTTATTTTTGATTAATGAAATAAAAAAAAATAAAAATTTTTAAAATAAACAAAATGAATATATTTTTAAAATATATTGTTGTTTATCTCAAGGAAATGTGTATCTATGTTATGTGTACATACATTTAAAAA